CTAATTTCAGGCAAGAGACCAAAATTTAGAAATAGGAAGCTCCGATTTATTATCATTTTGATATGGCCCTTGGGTTTCGAGTGGAACACAGGGATTCAGTAGCACCTCGCCATTGCACTCTCTTCTCTACAGTCCTTAAAACCTGGCTCCACAACTGCCACACAAGCCTCCATCTCTTCCTCACATAATCACTATCGAACATGGACAGCTGTTGTCTGTAGTATGTCTGTAGTTTGTTGGAAATCCATTTCGTAAGGTTCCAAGTCTCTCAACCATCATATAGAAGCACTGACTTACTTGACTGACATTGCTGTTGAGAATCAGGATGTTGTTCACGTTTTATACTGAGCGCAGTGAAGTGCAGTGGAGTGGAGTGCGGTAGATCTCCACACTGATTTCACGTTAATGAAGGCCTGTCTTGCTCGCTTTTCACATCCTGAATTTGATGTCCTCATCTGTACCTGTGCCAGTACCTGTGCCGATACCTGTAGTTGAAACGATGCTACCTTGTCTAGGTAGGTGGGTAAGTGAAAGAGACTACTTCCTTCAGGTTTCTCCCATTCATGCTTGGTTCATGGTGCTTGTTATCGTTGTTATTGTTGTTGCTGTTGTTGTTGGTTGGTTGGGTATCTTCATCACCTACGTCTTCCCTACGTTCAACTGAAGGAAGTCCCGTCTCCCTTCACTGCCTCACCACTTCTGTCAACCTGTTGGCTTTCGCCTGTAGATCTTCGCGTTTGTGCAACAAGACAATGGACAGAAATCATCATCGCTGGCGAAATAAAAATCTTCTCCTGTTGTCTTCTCATCTGTCAGACAGCCAGTCAGCCAGCCAGCGTATGTTTATCTTCTCGCTCGTCACACTTGTGTGTTGCATGATCCAGTCTAGTCCAGTCCAGTCCTGTCCTGTTCTGTTCTGTCCTGTCCTGTCCTGTTCTGTTCTGTTCTGTCCAGTAGACCACAATCAGGGAGATCATCAGTGAGTGATAGTAGGCAGCCTTATCGTGCCGTGTCGTGTGTTGTCTTGTCTTGTCTTGTGTTTTCTTACTCCTTCCTGTCTTCACTTCACTGTAAAGGCATCATCACTGAGCTATGCATTATCAATCACTTGGCATGTAGCATCATATGGCATATAGCTGGTGTTGAATGAGGTTGATGAAGATTTGTGACACTGAAACCGTAGTGTTGAAGTAGCTGCCTTCCAAATTACATGTTGTTTGACGCTGTTGGATGCCTTCTCAAAATCGATGAAGTTGAGGTAAAGAGTTGAGTGCCAGGAACCTGCGATGCGAGTTTATATGCTTTAGTTGAAATTTTTCAGTTCATTAAAATATTGGGAGCAAAACAAACTGTCTACCGTTCACGACTTTTCTTAAGATGACCTATTTTTTAACAAATTTCTCTGCAAATTAACAATGATATTAACTTTTTATCAAATGCATATGGTGTTTGCTCCACTGTTGTTAGCATACTAGATGAATTATTTAACATTCAGTGTAGCTTTTTCTGATTAGGGGTTTATTACATGCACCATGCAGGTCTAGATATCTTTACTCTTCTGATTAGTATTCATGATTTCTTTTCCTAATATCCCTCGTACTCCTGGATAATACCTGATGACAATATTTTCAGCTCAGTCTTCAACTGTTATCACAGCTGACGCTAAAGATACGCAAACTTGAAAGCTGCTGATAATCCCAGTTCACTCTTTTCAGGAGCTTTATCACTGACTTTCTATTTTCTTCATAAATAAGGTAACTCCTTTAAGCGCTTCTAACTAATTTATTGTTACGCATTGAAAACATTTTAAAACTAGCATTTTCGCTTTCTCAAACACTTTCAAAAAGACAACAGCTCATTTCATATTTTAAGTTTTTGTTCCTTAAGATATCTAAAAATCTCAAAAGAATTGAAATTTTATTCAAATTTCTGATCATGCTTGTTTAGAATTGAATTTCCAGGGTTATAACTGACTCCCTATGGGTTTTATGATTTTCTATGATCAGTTAAGCTAGATCAATATCACAATCCTAACCTATATTATGTTGTACATGTAAACAGTGTGAGTTTTAAAACGAAAAGACAATGAAAGCATGCCAATCTTATGGATATTAAAATATAAGAATTTCTAGTGAACTATTTCTCATCACCTACTGTCTCTCACCTACTGTATTTCAAGTTTAATTCAAGCTTCTTAGTAATGACAGCTTCTACGATCATCTATGTTATTTTGTCATATCAGACAGTTAATCGACGAAATTTTGTCGTTTTTTCTAGTTTGAAAATGTGAACACTGTAAATTGTTCTAATAGATGCTTTCAGAACAGTGCATATCATAAATCAAATAAATTGCCTCAACATTTTTTTCTGTTACAAAAATTCTTCATAAATCCTTTTACTTTACAGTTATTTTTGAAAGCTAAATTTCGTATCAGATTCATATGTACAACTCTTTCTCCTAATTTTGAATAGACATTATATGCATTTGTCTTCTAAACGTCTGAAAACTGAAATAATATGGAGAATAACCTTCCATTAAAATAAAAAGAAAGATAACTTTTCATGTCACCCCATCAAAATATTGTCATTTAAATAATTCCACAGTGGATTCACTGAAGGCCAAAGATCTTAAGTTGAACACCAATTGTGTATTTTCATGAACTTTTCATTACGCTTATAAATAAGAAAAACACGAAACATGAAATTCGATAGCAGGGTTATTTGTTCGATGCTTTCAAGTTGTTGAACACATGATGTCAGGTGTAACACACTGAATTGCTGGTAATTGTGTGGCACATTGATTTAGGCACTCAGCTTCTGAATGATGGGTCACGGGTTCGAATCCAGCTTCAGCTAATGAGGTTTGAGTAGCCAGATGGTACGACAAGCCCTTGCACAATCAGCATGGCTAGTTGCCTACTGTAAGAACTTGCACATGGTTTCTGAGTACATTAAGATTTTTTTTGGCACCCCTGATCCTACATCTGTTCAAAACTTAAAGTGAATCCAATATGAACACTTTAAAATCAAATTACTGACATTTACAGTGTCTGCTAGGAAACCTGATTTTCAAATTGCACCAGTTAGCAGTGCTCATTAGCCAGTTCAAAACTGTGCCACTTCCAAACACTTTTCTTGATCATACGTGACACCAACTTGTTTAGGTAGCTAGTGAGGATTTCGGTAGTTTTCTCGGTTTGACTTCGTCAGCTGAATCACTACAAGTACACCGCTAGTGAGTCTGATCTCATGCAAATCTAACGGATGCTTGGTACTAAACAACTATCATCTGACTAATGAGCCCTGATGACTAACGTGTAAGATCTTCACATACTCATTCAAGCGTTAAGTTTATATCCTGCATCTTTTATGACCTATGTTATCCATCTACATACAAATATGAACAGAGGTTTGTAATTCTCATCCTTTTAACGTAGTACTACATACTGAAGGTAGGTGTTTAACGTTTATATTTCTGTTAAGCATTACACAACAGATAGTTTCTCCAAACAGGTAGTATACATTGATTTGGAGGCGATGACAGACAATAACGTTAGTGCGTTACATTTTACAGATGACTCCGACTATTCAGTAGACATTAGAACCAATGAAGTCTGAGAAAGATCAGTTGAAAAATCTTAGACTTGGACAGATTGACATAAGATTCAGAACTATGGTAGTGTGTTATATTTCTTTATCATTGAAGTTGATGTAAACTATACTTTATTCCAGCTATATTTTATTCAGGAATGCTCGATTGCTTACTGATGCTGTATACAACTATAACTCTACTTTCTGAAGAACTTACCTTTACCGTTTTATCTTGCTAACAAATAGTTCTACTTCATATATTCTGCTTCTTATCGCAATATAAACAGACTGGTAAATATAGACTCGAGATCGAACAGTTTGGACATGGAATGTGATATACAACTGTATACAAATGTTTAGATATGAAATGAGGTGACAACTCCATTGAAAAAATCTTGCAGTTTGTCGCGAACTTCTAACACTGGTCATTATCACCAAAAGAAGAGGCTATAAACAAGATGGAGGCACCTAATCAGTTTGATGAATCCATCGTAAACTTAGCCTCCTTATTCAGTACTGCGTTGTGAAAGGACTGATAATCAATCTACAACTGTTTAAAAATGTGTACTTCTCACTTACAGCTATATTTATACGTTTACAAACAATTCATGGTTGCTACTAGCAAAGTATATGAAGTATATACAAACCAGTCAGCTCTTTTTCATCTGGCAGTGTAACTGCCAGTTGAGTACTACTTTTGCTCTCCAAAAATATTATGACTTTTGCACTAACAGAATTCTACACTGTCTCAGTCACTCAGTTATTCAGAATAACATAAGGCTCCTCCCCTGTCCAAGATTCCCTAAGATGATGTACGCAGTGTAAAGTCTGTTTAAGTGTAATTCTTTCTAGAATTTGGACAAACTGAACATCAAATGAAAAACGATGTACTAAGCACTAACGTAAGTCTATCGTCACTAAGCTGGGTGACCTGCAACTCCTGTGCATTATACTTCACCGTTGGATGCTAAGAGTCAATCACCAGGAGACTCTACCGATTCCTGGATTAACCTGTACTCTGTACACCCTGGTTCTTATCATCAAAACGTGTCTGTAATGTTGAAGAAAGTCATATTGTCTCAAAAATTTGAGATTCTACAGTAAGTTGTGTTGTTAGCTTTTAGTAGGAGATAGTTGAATCCCTCCTGATAATGATTTTCGGTTGCCTCAGAGATGCCGGTAAACTCTAGATTCTTTGTACAATCCTCTGTAAATTTATGCATTTCAGAAGTAAGATGTGAACCAACCGATTAGTTTAGAGAAGATTCTTAGGTATTCAATAAACTTTTATCATTCTTTGATAAAATTCTAGCTAAATATTTAAAATGCTGGATAAAATTAATTGAAAATTTGGCTATTTATTCTAAGTTCACTTTACTTCTGTACTGATTTTTGAATATTTGTTGTAGATGCAACTGTATATGCTCAGTTAGTATTCAGATCTTTCGATCAAGAACATAATGGAACTTTAACATTCGAAGTAAGTTCAGACAGAATGAAACACATCATTTTTCATATCAGTCGGTATCACCTGGAAAACTGTAAAGTATTAAATCGGAATGGACAGTTATTTTCTTTTAAACTGAGCTTCTTTAAAATTTTTATTTTCTATAACATTTCGGACAATCATAGAGAATAAATTTGTGAGAGGTAAACAAAGCAACTTTGAGTATGAGTAAATTGGTCAATAATAATTTAGATACTACATTGACTGAAATTAGTTCTGACTGATATGTATGTATTCAAAAATTGTAATCTGCTTGCAATGAACCAAAATATTCACCGTGTGAAATTTTTTTTAACCGCTTCGACAGTAGCTATGTTCAAGAAGACACAGATTCTACTATCCCATCATCCACCCATTTTTACTGTCTAATAAATCTTGATTACGCGTGACAAAAGCTTGTAGGAATCTTGCGATAACCTCTTAAATTCTGTGCATGTTACGAAGTGAAGATTGAAATAGTATCTCGTGAATGAGTTTTTCCGCTGATCATATTGACTAGTATGATAAAGAAATCTCTACAATGAAATCATGAATCTGTAAGATTAGAAATCCAGTAACTTCATAATTCTTAAATAAAAATCTTATTTATGATTTCTTCAACCTCACCTAGTTTACAAGTTCACTGGTTACTACCCGGTAATAAGTCCGATTAGAGAGGAAAGGTTAGGCCATGCTCCTACAAATAATGCAAATCAAGAGCAGGAGGAAGAATTCTATACACAACTGCAATCAATAATGGACAAGATCCCACCGTAGATGGCGACGTCAAAAGGCTAATGGGCGACATGAATGCCAAACTGAGAGCTAACAATACACTAGAAGAGAACCGATCATGGGTCGAGAGGCACTCGGTGGAATGAATGAGAATGGAGAACTATTTGCAGACTTCTGTGCATTTAATGATTTGGTGATTGTAAGTGAGACACTGTGTACAAACACAAGGATATTCACAAAGCGACATGGATTTCACCGGACACCCGAACACCCTAAAACTCAGATCGACTTCGTCTCAATGTGAAGAAATTGGAGACTCAGCCACCTACTGGACACAAGATCTGATCAATAAGGGGAGCAGGTGTAGATGGTTCACACCACTCACTACCTATTGCAAGGAACCTACCTTGAAAATCAAGTTGAAAGCCTTCAAACAAGCTGGCGATAGACCACAGTTCAAGTTGAACACCCAGAACAGAAACCGAACTGAAGCACGAAACTATAAAAGACATCTTCACATCAGCCATCAGAACGAACTGCGAGTCATCGAGCAACATCCTTGAAGGAACCTGAGTGGAAGAACACTGGAACTCTTTGAAAGAGATGTGGACGGAAACCTGCATAGCCGTGTTAGAAAGGAAGAAGAAGAGGCGAGACGTGGAATGGATCCCCACGGACACATGGAAGCTGATAGAGCAGGGAGAGGGAGATGGTGAAGCAGGAGCAGAAGGCTAACCGGTGTTGTGCAGTTCAGGGATGAACAACGAAAAGAGGAACTGAATGCAACCTATAAAGCACCACATTGGACAAAGAAGGGAAGGAGAGTGCGTGCAATCACAAAAGATACTTCTACGACACACTGGGAAGTGAAGCAGGACAGACTGCAGGCAGGAGAGACAGAGACCTGATAACAGTACATCAAATGAACAGGTAACTTTCTGGGAGGGAAGATACCAACTCAGGTGAAATTAATGAAAGACAGTGAAGGAAAGCTAAATACCGAAGAGGAGAAAGAAAGGAAACGATGGGCTGACCACTTCAAAAAGCTCTTGAATCGACCACCATCACCACCTGCACCTCGTCCACAAACACCACCAGCAGCGCATCCAAAGAACCATCATTAAACACAAACTTTCCGACGAAAGCAGAAGTGAAGTTGTGAACGCCATAAAGTTCCTGAAATCCGGGTAAGCAGCAGGAGCAGATGGAAATTCGCTACAAGCATTGAAAACAGGCGCAGAGACATCAGCGGACACGCTCATACCACTATTGCAGAAGGTTTGCAGGGAATGAAGGAAAAGTATCGGCCCACTGATTACAAGGAGGGCTACCTTGTCGAACTCGTAAAGAACAGAGACTTATATCTTTGCAGGAACTTGCGCGAAATCATGCTTCTTCCCACCTCAAGCTGAATATTACGCAGCATCATCCTGGAGAGACCAAAAGCTGCGCTGCATTCAACTGGATTACGACCAAAACAGACAAGCTGGCTGGCTTCAGCAAGTACAAATCATGTGCGCATCAAATTGCTACAACACGCTAGGCATCATCATCATCATCATCATAAAACACAGCATAGAATGGCAGAATGGTAACTCTATACCTCAACTTCATCAATTTTGAAAAGGCATCCAACAGCGTCAAACAACATGTAATTTGGAAGGCACCTACTTCAACACTACGGTTTCATTGCCACAAATCTTCATCAACCTCATTCAACACCAGCTGTATGCCATATGATGCTACATGCCAAGTGATTGATAATGCATAGCTCAGTGATGATGCCTTTACAGTGAAGTGAAGACGAGAAGGAGTAGGAAAACACAAGACAAGACAAGACAAGGCTGCCTACTATCACTCACTGATGATCTCCCTGATTGTGGTCTACTGGACTGGACTAGACTGGATCATGCAACACACAAGTGTGACGAGTGAGAAGATCGGCATTCGCTGGCTGGCTGACTGATTGACTGACTGACTGTCTGAACGATGAGAAGACAACAGGAGAAGATTTGTATTTCGCCAGCCATGATGACTTGTGTCCAATGTCTTGCTGCACATACGTGAAGATCTACATGCGAAAGCCAACAAGTTGACAGAAGTGGTGAATCAGTGAAGGGAGACGGGACCTCCTTCAGGTGAACGTAGGGAAGGCGTAGGTGATGAAGATACCCAACAAACAAACAAACGAACACACCAACCAACAACAACAACAGCAACAACGATAACAAGCATCATGAACCAAGCATGAATGGGAGAAACCTGAAGGAAGTAGTCTCTTTCACCTACCCACCTACCCACCTACACACCTACCTAGACAAGGTAGCATCGTTTCAACTACAGGTGTCGGCACAGGTACTGGCACAGGTACAGATGAGGACATCAAATTCAGGATGTGAAAAGTGAGTAAGACATGCCTTTCATTAACGTGAAATCAGTGTGGAGATCTACTGCACTGCACTGCACAGCACTCCACTGCACTGCACTCAGTATAAGACGTGAATAACATCCCGATTTTCAACACCAACTTTAAGTCAGTGCTGCTATATCGTTCAGAGACTTGTCGCGTTACGAAATGGATTTCCAATAAACTACAGACATTCATCAACAACTGCCTACGCTGGCTCGCTACTGAACATCAGATCAGATCAGATTAGATGGCCAGAATAATAAGAATAAGCAACAAGGAACTCTGGGAACGAACCAACTAACCAAGAAGCTATCGCTGAACAAATATGCAGGTGAAGGAAGTGGAGATGGATTGGACTGGGCATACACTGAGAAGTCCGACTGGGGACATCAGGCATCAGGCGAGGATATCGAGTGGAACCGCGATGGGAAGCGACGAGTTGGGCATCGCAGCTGAGGGTGACATGCGGGAGATCGTGTGAGGAGGAAATGAGAGGTTGTGGTCTGTCGTGGAGCCAGGTTGAAAAGTTTTCAGAGAATAGAGTGTAATGGAGACGTGCTACTGAATCTCTATGTTCCATTAGGAACCCAAGGTCAAATAATAATAATAATAATAATAATAATAATAATAATAATAATAATAATAATAATGGTAATTGGAGCTACGATTTCTTCTCTGAGCAAAATAAGTTTACCACATGCATTTATTTCGGCAGGTAGTATTATATTATGTCAGATTATTATTTTCATACATCTCAACATGGTTTTAGTTGTATTACAATCTTTTAAAGACAGTCCATAATTACAAGGATTTAAAACTAATTTTCCTCTGATACATTTTTCCTGACAAATTCATTCTTTCATTCTTTTGACTGGGACTTAATATGGTGAAAGGATTCTGCCTCGAATGAAACACATCCATTCTCCGATGACAACTTAATTCTTTTTTACTCCCAGAAGTGCATGCAGTCAATGATACAGTAATCTAAGGCTACAACCAATCACAAACCAGTTCGTTAGGGCAAACTACTGAATCACTTACGGAGAGATATTGACAGCTCACTTCATATAGAAGTTAGTGCTGATGATGTCGTCTAGAAAGACAATGAAAGCTCCATGATTAAGCAACCCAGCTCAGAGAAAACAATGCAATCAAGATTTTTGTTTAGATTTGTGTGAATACCACGCATCTTCAGGATATTCAGTCGGCGGTTTGTAGGGACTGATGAGTTTCAAGGTAGTTTTCACCACAAACTAATATCTTCTGGCAAGCAGTTGAAAACATGGGGTAAGTGGTCAGCTGTCTCATCTAAGTTTGGAACCCCTCAGTGGGGCACACCCATGACTCTTAGAGGGACCGAGTCCCGGTCTGTCAGGTCTTGTGGCGAAAGCGTTGCCATCCAGGTTATACTTGGATGACTAACATTAAATGCTTGTTAAGCGATCAGTGATTGCTCCTGATACTCTTAAACATACGGACATATTAATTACAGCAATGAAACTGTACTCATTTAGATGACTAATATGTTTCAACAACTTTTTGAAAAGAAATCATGATTCCTAAAACAGACAGGTGTAATTTGTTTATACTTTACATAACACCACGACAACATGTACTTTAAGGTGTTAAAAATAAGTTAAAGGTTTCAAGGTTGTATCTGATGCGGTTACAAGTATTTATTTTTTGTATGATATAAAAGCCCGTAACACAATGTACAACGGTTGTTCCAGTTCACTTAAAGTAAAGATGAATGCATTCAATACTGAAGTCTAAATTCTCCACTGGTACGACTAAAAAGACCTTTATCTCAAAGCTCATGAAATCTTATGAGAATAATAAAGAATAATAATAATAATAATAATAATAATAATAATAAGAGAATAATAAAGGTGCTGATGATGATACTGTGTTGTAAGTTTATCCCTTTTTCAATATTTATGCGACATTAAACACTGAACTGAATGTTTATTTTTCCCACATACCTTTTGTGTTCATTTCATAGCAATATATTCAGTGTTTATCATGTTTAATGCATGGAACACAAAATGATAAATTACGTTGGGCATTTCGGTTATATGACATAAATGGTGATGGTTTTGTGACTAAAGGTGAAATGTTGAAAGTAGTCAATGCAATTTATGATTTACTGGGACGAAATACAGAACCACCAATCAATGAATCCACTACTGCTAATCATGTGGAAAGAGTATTTCAGGTAAATGCTATCCTGATGTTTGTGAATTATTATTAATATTATTATTATTTGTCCCTTGGGTTCCGAGTGGAACATAGGGATTCAGTTGCACGCCCCCATTGCACTCTCTTCTGTACAGTCCTTACAACCTAGCTCCACAACTGCCCACAAGCCTCCATTTCTTCCTCACACAATCTCATGCAAGTCACCCTCACCTCGTCGTTTCCCATGCAGATTCCACTCCACGGCCTGGCCTGGCGCGTGGTGTCCCCAATCGTTATTCTCAGTGTATGCCCAGTCCAATCCATTTCCACTTCCTTCTTCTGAATATTTGTTCAATGATGGCTCCTTGGGTGACATGGAGGAGATTGTGTGAAGAAGAAATGAAAGGCTGTGGGCAGTTGTGGAGCCAGGTTCAAAAGACTTCAGAGAACAGAGTGCAATGGAGGCGTGCTACTGAATCGCTATGTTCCACTAGGAACCCAAGGGAAAAATAAATAACGCCAATGAGCCACAGAACCATAACTGTAAAATGTTAGAACTACAGTGCTCATTGACAGTTCATAGTTTGTTTAACTGACTTTTCACCTAACAGAGTACTGTTACCTATTAATGGATATCTAAAAACATTCGTAACCCAAAAAATCACTGCATCACAATCCCGAAGTATAGAAAATATTGAGCTATGATTCAGATTTTTTGGGAGAAAAGTAGAAAGACTGTAGATAGATGAACAAAATTCATAGTTTAAGGTGAACTGACCATCTTTTAAGGTACTATACACAAATTCAATCTTCCTTACTGAACAGGAATTAAAGAAATTCAACTAATGACAAGAACACATTAGTCAGTTGTTGAGTACAGACCAGTAGTGCAGATACAATCGTCAAAAAATTCAGTCTTATGTGTATGAACACTGTTTCATTGAAACAAAAGATTCACTAGCCATGATTTCAGTCAGCTTTCTTGTTTCGATTTCTATTTTAAAAGGTTGGATTATTTAGTATAATTGTTGTTGAGTAACGGGTGATTAAAAAAATACACATTTAAAAGTTAGTGACTGTTCATTCAGTAACTGCAGTTTCAAGCATTTCGAAATTCAGAAGAATCTGTTCACACTAAGTTAACTTCTTACTAATTTTTCATTATCACAGGTGAATGAGATGGCTTGATTTATATGAACAGAAAAGATAGTTCACTTAAATTTCAGCTGTACATGCCTTCCACTAAAATTGACCAATGAAAGTGGATATCAATGAGAATTTATTGGGGTTATGATTGAAAATGAAATAAAAACCTAGATCCCAGCAGAACTTGAAATAGTGACTTCCATTTTACTGGTCAGGCGCTCTACTAAGTAAGCTATAAGACACATATGGTGACCACGTCTTAACTGCAGTCGCAGACGGCCTTGCTCAGCTATAACTAAGTACTGATTAGTTACCTTATTCAGTTTTGATAAAGCACCAGTGAAAATGTCGTTCGATACTAGGACACTTACCAAGCTAAATACATACTTTTAGGAGGTGGACAACAATGAAACTTTGGACAATTTCATCATAACTTTGAACGCAGTGAATGAATTTTTACTATGATGAAGAACTGAATCAACAACTTGAAATCCGAAAAAAGAGATCAAATCTTTTCAAATCAAATAAAAAGATGAAATGAAAACAAGATGAAAATAATAGGTCTTATTAGGATTCTAATTGTTGGATACCCACACCTGTCATAACAGACAAAGTTTCCCTATACTCAAAGAAGTTGATAATTTTTCATGTTCATTTAGTATTTTCAGATTGTTAAATTGATTTCAACAACCACTCTAATCAATATCTTGAGAGTAAATCCCTAAAACCATGTATACAATCACGTTAAATTTATTTCAATTAATTTACAATGGGTACTATAAAACGGATTTTAATTTTCATAAATGTTAACATTTTGTCAGTAAAAAGAAATAGTAAAACAACTTGAATAACTCTAAAGGCAATCCTGGCAACAATCGAAATGATCAATTAGACTTCTTTATTTTATCAAAATCGGCCTTTTCAGACAAAATAAAGAAACGTAATTAACTATTTCGGTCATTACTAAAATAGCCTTGAGAGGGACCCAGATACTAAGTGTCATCTCTGTTGCCTTGACAACAATGTTGTTCAGCCGTGATAGTGACAATAATCAATGCAGCCATCGTTAAAAGCGCTGTGTAGTGTTCGCTATTAAATCAGTAAGAATAGTTGCGAGTATATTTTATCGGCTAATATAACTTTAAAGATGATAATTAGCGTAGGATATGCTTGATCCAATCATATTTTAAATCAGAAATATGTACCGAAACTGACTTTTGACTGTTTTCTTTTTGTTTATAGCGATTGGATTTGAACCAGGACGGTGTAATCAGTTTCGAAGAGTTTTTACAAGCTTGTGCTTACGTAAGTGTATGTCACTTTGAAATTATTATTACTGTTACTGCTTTTATTTCTTCATTTCCTTTTAGTATTTTTACATATGATAGTTATCAAAACAATAAAGACTAGACCAAAGTCATGTTTTCCTTGAAAACTTAAACACACTGCTTTGTGGAAGTAATGAAATTTCTCTGTTAAAACGTGTCAAACACAAATTTATATTAATTGAAAACAAAACTGTCGAAAACAAGACATTGATGAGCTATTGTTTCATTCTTCTCTATTAAATTCCAACAACCAACATATTTGACGATCACTGTATGCAAAACCTTGATACCGTTATTTTTCGAGATGGTAGCTAGTTCCTAAATCTAATGGGAATGAGTTCTACAAACTTAGTGTACTTATGAAATCATCAAGTGTCACCGTAAAAATGATCGAAGGTGCTTATAGCTCAGCTTATTCAAGATATAGCTTTAAATATTTTATTCTCAATTATTTCGTTAGAGTTAACAACTCGGCAAAATATTTATCACATTTAATTTCTTCGTTTTTTTTCGATAATTTTTGCTTTTTTTTTACATACTACTGGTATATGCCAACAGAGACCGATCAATTTGGTCAAATGAACGATGATGTAATACAAGCAATAACACTACCACTGGTATCATTAATATTTGTAAAGTATTACGTATATACATTGAAATGCCTAACTTGTTGTCAAACGAATACATTTCGACGAGATGTAGTGAGATTATTATGAGTAATGTACACACTACAAACAATGTAACAGTAGACAAAAAGGTTCTGTGGTGAAATTGAATTCAATATTCGTTTTATTTACTTGATACAATGCACATTATTACAAGGTCATTAAACTTTATTACTGTATACAGAATTACAGTACAGGTTACATGACTAGATATGTTTTCATTTACCTGACTTGCCTGTAATGTCTAGGATAGGATTATTGCCAAAATGCCTAGAAGAGGAGTCGGTAACTCGCTGATATCAGACAAATAACTAAAAATAAGCTTACTGAACTGGAACTTATTTTGAACATGACCATCAATGCAACTAACTGACTTCCATGATAGCTAGATTTCTCTTGTTTTTTAGTAAAACCTAACTAAGATTTAACTTTCTTTTTGGTTGTATTCATATTAATATGCAGCCATAGGAGTAGTTTTCAAATACTTTAAATCTTGTCAAACCAGTGGGAATTATTCAATGCAAACATTACAGTTTAGTCCTTTTAAAACATCTTCTGAGGTGCTGCCAATCTCATAATGGCCAGATTTTGGCTTTTCGATTCAACTTGCTTTTTGAATACGATATAACCTGGTTAGTGGTGACTGATAATGGAATCTAGGACTCGAATTTCATCGTGTTTGGGACTTGTCGTCTGGGTGTACCTGTATCCCTGAGAGTGATTGTATCCCCAAGAAGACTGAAACTCAACACTCATTGCTGTTCATTCAGTAATTCTTCCTCTTTTATGCTACTACATAAATATATACACTTGGACCGTTTATAAACTTTCTGGGCGATTTTTACTGTCAATAAGTACACAATACCTCATCTAGTTATCTAAAACACAACTGATCCAGTAAATTATATGAATCTATAAACAGAAAACCGTTTTACTAACAAATAATCTGCAACAGAAATTTAAACATATCCGTTAAAACAATAATCAGTCAAACGTGCTGCTGTCAAGGATAACAGAACTTGTCATTTAGCTAAATGTAGTTCTGATATGAAAAGACTTATGCATTTGAATTTACGTCTACACACTTTTCATCATTCAAAATATGAAAGAATAGTGTTTATAGCCTACTCAGAGTATCACTCACTATTAGTAAATTCAAGATAAATGGATATCAGCCCTTGTTTCTAAGGAAAGAAGAAAGTTGTTCATAGTTAGCTATCAAACTAACACTAAATGTTTAGACTTTTAATTGAATCCAGATATCTGACAGAAAGCAGGCTGGATATGAGGGCAAATACTTGACATTAAGAGTGAATGATGCTTAAAAAAGGTTGCAAATTGTTGGAATCACGGGAAAGTGACCATTGCATTCTAAATAGGTATGAGAATGGTACCCTACCCACTACAAAACTTGATCTCTCATACAGTTGTGGGTGACTACAAAACTAGGAGGAATCAGCTTTTCAGTAGTCTTCCAGTCTATGCAAAATTCCAGATAAAACCCAACTTGTAAACATTTCTTTACCATCACTGCAGCCTAATAAACATTTGCTTTTCCAAGTACTATACCTTTGTTGGCATATCTAATGTGAACACTGGACTGTTCAAACCTAGATAAATGAGGCTGGATTCTATTCAATAATCTAATGGCTTAACGTTGAGCACTTGAATGAGTGATCTGAAATTTTATATAATTGGGTAGTCATTGTATAACATGTGTCTAACTTGACATTAACCAACCAGATAACATTGAATATTCTATAAAAATGAGGCTTATTTCGAACTCAAACGAAGAGACAGACATTCACTGAAAGGTAGCTGACACTTCCAGCCGATAAGTTTCGTACAGAAAGAAATACACACCTTGATGACCACTGTCAACGTAAGGCTTTAAAAAGCAGAAAAATATAACTAGTTCTATGAAAGAAACGTTTTATTATAAATAAACGTATACCAGAAGTTTAAATTCAAGGAACATAAAACTTTGTAGTTTATGATTAGTTTTGGCACTTCATACGGGGACTGATTTTTACCGCCTTTAAGTTATGCATATTCTTTACTAGATACTTGGATTTATTTATTCTTGAAGTAAGCAGACGATGTAATTCTTTAATTTATACACACTATATCGTGTTTATTTGTTTGTTTTAGTAATGATTTCAACGAGTTAGTAAAAGCGATGTTCTTAATCCCTTAACCCTTGTCATTATCATGACTTTTTTATAGAAAATGTATTGTACCGTACCTTGTTAAATGATAAAGAAAACTTTAACATATTCTGTTGTAATTTTTATTTCAGGATCCAACTGTATGTGATGCCCTTGATAAACTTACAACCATTTTATAAGTTATGTTCATGCTTACAATCAGATTATAAGACGGTAAATCGAATTCTTTATATGAATTGATTTTTACACTAATCACCTATTTTACTTGTCTGTCACCACTATCCACTTTCACTATTACTGCTGCTACTACTGTTACTAATACCAATACCATTATTACTACTACTCCTACTGTAACCACTCAACCTTGATTTTCATTAATGTAGTAATATTCAACCAGTGTAATTTTCCTTTACACTTCATACAAGTGGTACTATTGTTGTTGCTACTAATGTTAGTATTGTTATTACTATTATGATTTATTGGCCAGAAATATAAATTGAAAAAAAGATTACTAAGTTTTGTCCAACTTACTTATTTACCATACCAACAAATATGGAATGATAAAAAATGTGAAAAGTTTCTATTGCTCATACTTTGCTAGTAAGATCATTCAAAGGGATCGTTTTTTAGTGGGGAGACTTTAAAGGCCATCCTAGCAACAGTCGAAATGACCAATCAGGCTTCTTCATTTCGGCTGGTTATTCCATTTGTCGCTAGGGTGGTCTTTAAAGTCATCCAATAAATATTAGTCGAATGTGATAACTGAAATTCAGGAATCTCGCCATCGAAAGTGAGTACCAGCAAGGCTGAATACCCCTCGTATGTGAACTATATGTCAACCAGTAGCTGATGCTGTGCCCTACTTACTTCTAGAAATACATTTGATTCACAGCCAATAATTTTTTGTGCTACTTTCTCTCTCACTGCAGTTAATAAAGGTCGACCTTACTTCTAAGCAGTTAAACTGTAGGATAGGGGCCACTTCAGTTATGAAGTGAATAGCTTATTCTCTAAATAGTTTATGGTGGTAGGTAGGAATGACTTTAAAAGCCATCCTAGTAACTGCTTAAATAGCCAATTAGACTTCTCTATTTTATGAAAACCTGCCTTTCCGGGCGGGAATGGAGAAGCGTAATTGGTCATTTCAGTTGTTGCTAGGGTAGTCTTTAAAGTTACTAGGTTTTTAGCATGGCTCAGATTCAGAATTCTCCCGTCTTTAAAAGCCATCATAGCAAAGATCGAAATAACCAATCAGGTTTCTTCATGTGGCTGGGAAGATAGATTTCTATAAAATGCAGTAGTCTGACTGGTTATTTCGGTTGTTGCTAAGGTGTCCTTTAAAGTCACTCAGTATTGATACCGGGTAATAATTAAACATGATAGAAGCTAAGCCTACTCTTCCATTAGAATCAGTAATTTTTTTTAACAACATAAAGACTAATCTTTTTGACTATCGAGCGACGGTAATAAAAACAAGTGTTCGGAGTGAATTTTACCATGAGTTGGAGTTTTAGTTTGGAAATTCTTCAGTGTTATGACGGACACTATCATTAATGTAAACTTCACATTAACGTCAAATAGTTTGATTGTGCATGAGCACATATTCCTGATAAGTTTGCTGATTCACCTTACCTGTCAAGTATCACACTGAAAATCTTGTTAATCGAAACCAACTTAGAGAACTATTCAGTGTAAAAATCTGCATTCCGAAATGACAGTAATTGTTACTAGTTTTAAAAAGAAGTCCATAGGATATTTGCACTTGTGTAGTAAGAAATGTATAATAAGCATTCTTCAAGTGTTCAGACGACTTTGCATCTTATCAACATCTCTATTAGAAAGAACTGTGTTATCTGCATACTAAAAAGTTTCAGATGATACATTCAATCTCCATAAACTCAAATAAGAAATGACAAACCCACATAAGCACGTTCATGACAGAATTAAATGAAAATGGAGAGGGTGATCAAAGTTGATGGACACCGCTGGATGTGTACAGTTCATATGATACTTCAACATAAGCTCTGATGAGACCACGAATGTTTCAACTAGAGAGTCTTTTGAGTAGGTAAATTTAACAGGCAGTCCATTTACGGATACTTCTGTATAATACCTCGATCAGAGGGTGAAATGCAAGATGTGTTGGATGCCGGTAAGTGTAGCTGCATTCGAAGACGTGGCAAAAGGTGGAGATCTGGTCGATGCCTCCACCATTCTTAAATATCTTGGAGAACGATAATCAGGTCTCACTAACATTCCTTTCTTCCGTTTACCTAAAACCTTTTATTTCTACATAACCTGGAGACCCAGGAATGACTTGATAGTTGACAATCAAAGCGTAGCTGAAGACAACTTGAGTGTTCTATCCATTTTTCTATTTGTATTCGAATAACAGTCTCATCTTTCTCTGACATAGTCTCAATAACCATGAAGTTTTCGGTCTGATTCGCTTGATAATTTTATGATACTATCTAATAATAATTATCACTGTTACCTTTTCTATCTCTTTACATTTCAAAGCTTACTATTGCTCATGGTAACTGTAATAACCCTCTTTCGGTCTATATTCAAGTATTTCTACTCCCTAATGAAGTCAATGCCTGCAGGAATACTTTCTAATGCTCCGATTCATTAGAAAGGAGCAACTGAGATCCAGTGACACATTCAAACTTTTCGCTAAGAATCAGTTATGATCCTTAACACTGTCTTTGCAAGAGAGATTGGAAATGGTGCCATGCATTTTCAGGATGAGTGACACTCTTTATTCCAATAACTGTCTTCCTAGTTCCTCGTTGAAAGTAGCCTTAGTATTTTTATCCTCGGCTGCCTTTTAGAACGATATTGCAGATGTAGTCTTTTAGATCCATTTGGGCACAGACAAACTCGTTCTCGATCCAACGTCTGACCATTGTTAAAACACGAGTTCCAGAAGAAGCGGCAGTCTTCCACCAAACTTCACAAGCAATTACCAAGATCCATGTTCCTCATCTGTGTTCACAGTTGACTTGAGGTTGGTGGACGTCACATCAGACAATATCTCTACTTATTTCCACGGTGGTCAGAAATAGACAGTTGTAGGCGCACAGTTGTAAGAGGCAATCACCATTACCTGCTCTTTCGGCTGGGATTTTGAAAGTACTTCCTAAGTTCCTCTCCGCTCAATGTAATTAACCCACTAGTGCGTTGAAATCATTTACTATGAGCACCACATTTAAAACTTTGGTTCTTAGTGGTAGGCTAAACAATTTCAGCACAGCTTACCTTTCACTTCATTCAAACTGCAGTCAGACATCAGCAGCAGACATCACAAAGCAAAAATGGCAAGTTTCATTATTCTTTTTAGTCCTCACTTCCCGACTTAGTGGAAGAGAACACATGCGAACAATTCCCTTTCTACCTCACGCATTAACCCAAACTTACATCTGAAATACTACGAGAACTAACCACTGAATCTTCAGAAACTTGAAGGCCAAATTTCACGACTTCACCATACTAGATAAGTGAAGTTAGTTGAATAACCATACTTGTATCCAACATGCGGACGTCACAAATGTAGCCCATGTCCACGGTCACAGTTGTCAGAGTATTGGTCAAGGGAACTTACTTGCCGATTTAATGGAGGCTCCGGATGTTGAAAGCTTCGATATTTGGTTTGAATTGTAGAAGCAACTGAATATGGCCTAATATTACCAACAGAAGAATAGAAAAAAGATGATTTAGCAACGGCGTGTTGGTGATTAGGCATGACTTGAATGCCACCATGGTTTTGTGAGTGGTTATTATTTCATCCCTGCCATCACTGTGAAAGTTACCTATTCAGGCACCTGTAAGAAGAGATGGATTCCACGTATGTATTCATCGCCAAGTGATATCAACTGGAGAACCACTGAGGACTTGAGGGCACTGGACAGCTGATTCACCCTAGTATATGGCTCCTCAGCGGCGCGCACCAACAACTCCAGCAGGGATAAGACTCAGGATCTTCAGGTTCCATACCCAGCACGTTGCCACCGAGCCACTGGATTCGACTCCAACGCTCCACATTTTCCTACCTCTGTTAGTTTGCAATACAACGTGATCTCCATCCAATGCCATCACTGACTAATTCTTTAAAAGTCCCAGTTTGTTTAACCCACTGGTCATGACTTTTCACTAGAACTTCAGGAACCTCATCTCGAAGCGAGTTTCTAACCTACAACCTACAAGATCCGATTGTCGCTGGTTTGAGTCTCGCTGTGATCCGAATTTTCATTTCACCTTCAATCATCACCCAGTATAAATACTAGTCTACCAAACTACGGCTATCTCAGATAGTCAAATGATATCCAAACTCAGTCAACCTAACCCCAAGCAGTTCAATTTGAATATTCATTTCTACCTTTCGTATTGCCACTTGATCTGGAAAAAACTGTTCACTTCTATATTGTTACACCTAAATTTGTCTCAGTCTTTATTATATATGTATGTATGCTCTTTTCCGTTGTTTAACGGTATATATATATTCAAGTATGTAAAGTATCCAGCTAACGAGTATTACCGAAATTAACGAATTCATTATATCCTTCTTTTTCCCCATTCGTTGTTTGTTTTAAATTTGTATCGTAAAACAGATGGTTTTAATAAGAATATTGCTAGTAGATGACGCAAATATTGAATCATATCTAGAAAGGACTATGTAGGATTTTTAAATTGTTTATAAGGTGCACATAGATTACAATGAGTGAAAACGTGGTAGACGTGATAAATAATCAAAGAATCAGGTAATATGAATCAGACAAGTTAGTTGAAACAAATTGAAAATCATTCGATAGAAGATGCAAGATCAAATGAAATAGTGCCGGAAACTATTAAATGTAAAACTAAAACTCGTGATGACGGTATAACAGAGTAAACATTCATCTAACAAAAATGTAAGTTGAAAAAACAATAAGCAACGTAACAAACCAAGAACAAACTAAGGCCGAGGTAGAGACAGACTGTAAAGGCACATCTTCCACACAGAGGTCAGTCTTCATTTCAACAACTTCCAATGACTTTACTGCTTTTCGGAGGTGAATGCGGTGGAAAAGAGTCATAAGTGGGAAGCAAGGAGCATCTTGCATCCCACCACTAGCCAATATCTATCATTCGGATTTCCATTACCCAGTTTTAAATGTTTCAAATTTATTTCTGATAACAG